TATATATATACAGTCCAACCTGTGTAAGATGACAATCCATGGTCAAGGAGAATAGTAGTCGTATAACACCGGTGGCCGTCTTAAGCAGGACTGATCAAAATGAAGAAAGTAACCGTTCCCATCTGAGGTCCAAACTGGAGGTGGTCGCAGGCTTAGGACTGCCGTAATGCTACATGCACTTAAAATGGGGTTTTGTTTTCTTTTCTTATGGAACAGGAGCATTGTGGGGAAGGTTATTCTTTTTTGTTGTTGCTGTTCTTTTCGTGAGGTGTTTTTTTCGTTACTTTTTTTGTTGCTGCTGATTTCGTGCAGGGGTAAAATACAACGAAATTTGTCAGAAGAGGAAAACCAAGTGTCGTGGTAAAACAAACTCATGGGTCGCTTCCACTCGGAAAACGAGCGACGCTTCTGTCACAAGTTCATGTTTGACGTCCATTGTTACTTTGTTACAGGCTGGGTAAATAGTGACCACTTATCTCACTTCTGATATGTGTATGGGTTCTGGGTGGGTCTTATGGGTTATGAAGGATCACACGCTTCCCTCACCAGCAGCTAAAAATTCACTGCCACCTATTGATCAACAGTGGGAGGGGGCAACGGAACAGGACCGGTTTGAGGGACTACCTAACGATACCGACAGGTGATAGGATCAAAACAGATCTTCCGCAACGTCAGGGACCAGTACATAATTGATGACAAAACGTCAGGCGATGAGAGATTTTCGTGGCCGTCTAGGACAGGATAGATAATATGATGGCCGCCGCTGTGTTGGGCAGATGACCGTGAAAATAATTTATCTATTCGTAGATTTACTGTTTTGGTCATTCGCCTTTTTTCACATCAACTTCATCATTTCTAAGAACTTCGCTTCCCCATTTATTGTTGTGGCGTTGGAAGCGTCCAAGTTCCTACTTGGCTCGGTCCTTTCGGAGACGGACGTTAAACTAGTGTTGATAGGGACGCTGAATCTTTACCATTTCAGCATTTCACCATTACACTGTCCCCGTCGCTTTATGCAAAGAAAATTATGAAATTATGCAAACTGAGCCCAAAAATGTGAAATGGTGCGATTCTGTTAATTTTAACAAAGAATTATAAATGAGAATAATAAGAAATTATGCAAAAACGAAAAGATCAAATTTTGCCAAATTATGCGGGGTGCATAAAACCACAGAGACAGATTTCACCATTTCACCATTTCACCATTTCACCATTTCACCATTTCACCATTTCACCATTTCACCGTTTCACAATAATATCTTACCCCCCCCCCCAATCTCCCCAAAGGAACCTCCCTGGTGTTCTATGTGGGTCAGGGCAACCTGGAGTTCTCCGTGGACGTGCCAACCAGTCTCCAAGGCAAGTGTGAGGGTCTGTTGGGCAACTATGACGGCGACAAGGACAATGACTTCGCCCCGCCCTCTGCCGCCACCACAGGCACCTCCCCCCTTCCCGCCAACTCCACGGAGAGGCAGATCCTCAACGACTTCGCTGAGAAATGTGAGACAGTTCATAACTTAATGTCTCCGGATTTTTTTGTTTCTCGGAACTTATTGAAAAATATTGTTTTTGGTTTTTTTAAAAGAATTTATTGAAAAGTACTGTTGTTTGTTTTTAGAATATTATTATTTTATTTAAATATACTGTTTATTTATATAATTTATTGAAAAATAGTGTTTATTTAAATAAAAAATACACACGAACGTTTATTTATTGAATAAGAATAACCATCGCGTTTTTATTCTAGAAGGTAAAAATTAATGATCATGTATTTTTTAGAATGTATAGAAAAGCTGTTTACTTTTTTTTTATTTAGAAAAAATAGTAATAAGTCTATGCTTGTGTTAGGCCCATGCCGCATCTAGACTAATCTGTCTTTAAACAGACTAAAGCCTTTGTTTTAGGGAGTTGTGAACAATGGAGAAATACGAACCCTACCGCACTACGTAGACACAACATTCTAGTCGTGAAAAATTGTGACCGGCCACAAACCGAGTCTGACTAAAGACTAGTTTGAGCCAGTAAGAGAATAGAACAGTCTACCGCACTAAGATAAAACTTTCCTGAAATTTGACGACACGCCGAGTTCCATCCACCAACGCATACATACACCCGGTCGTGTTTTGATGACACGCCGAGTTCCATCCTCCAACACATACATACACCCGGTCGTGTTTTGACGACGCTCCTTGTTCCTTTCAACAACACATATTATATTGTACATCTGATTATTTTTACGCCAAACTACATTCTGTGTACATCGAGCAAGGACCATAAGCAAATATTAAAAAATTGAATTGAACTGAGAAATTAATAAGTTCAGTTAAAGGCAAACCGTTGCTCTACAATAAAGCTTTGAAAGATTATTCTTTAAGAAATAAAGCTGCCTTTTCAGAAATCACTGACAGGTAAATGGATGAATCCATAACCGTTTTTTATGTTTCTTTCGCCCGATTGAAAACATTAGAGCACATACACAGGATATCTCTGTCAATTCTATGTTCAAAATGACTCGTTAATATCCAAGTCTTGAGACGCCAGAGTACGGCTCAAGTGGAAGTTAAATCCTGCGACAAATCTGACTGAACGGTAAGACAGATTTGTCTAGGTGTGGCATACGCCTTATTCTGCATTACATAGCACTTCGCGACCTCAGTAATTTCTTTTCCTGTTTCCATTTTTTTAAACATAGAAAAAGTGACTTGTTCTTTAGCTCATTCTTTGTTATGAACTGTTTTCCCTGTTATTAAAAATGGAGACAGGACAAGAAAGCACAGAGGTCGCGGCTAAAAGAGCTTTCTAGGGGTTAGGCACAATATCTCCATTGTTGTTGTTGTTGTTGCTCTTGTTGTTGTTGTTTATATTGTTGTTGTTGTTGTTATTGTTGTTGTTGTTGTTATTGTTGTTGTTGTTGTGTTGTTGTTGTTGTTGTTGATCTTGTTGTTGTTGCTCTTGTTGTTGTTCTTGATCTTGTTATTGTTGTTGCTGTAGTTGTTGTTGTTGTTGTCGGTATTGATCTTGTTGTTGTTGTTGTTCTCATCTCATTTCCCCACGTTTGTGTGCCCCCCCCCCAGGGCGAGTACTGAGCACCAACACCGTGTTTGTGTACGAGGAAGGAAAGACCACCCTGTCCTACCAGAACTCCAGCTTCCTCCCCATCTTCCTGGACGAGGTCAACGCCACAGCGCGCCAAGAAGCCGAGAGCACGTGCGGCAGTGACGTTGCCTGTGTGTTTGACCTCATCGCCACCAAGGACGAAACGTTCGCCAAGTACTCGGCACAGGTCAACGCTGAGGCCAACCTGGTGAAGCAGAGTCAAGGTGACATACGAGTGGGATAGGCACTGACTTTTATTGTTCTTTTCCTGACTTTCTTCTTTTCATAGATTGGTTGCTTGCTTAACCCTATCCGCGCGTCGTGCTTTGTTATCGTATCCCTACGACGCGGGGAACTCTGTGCCACCACTTTCCAAAGAGGAAATTTACTCGTTAATCCGATCCGTACGCTTTGCATAGCAGTCTGTCAAAATGATTTTTTTCAGAAATACTGAAAGTTTCAAAGAGAACTTTATACTAGAAGTATTCTAAAATGTGCACATGTGAAGACAACAACCCCGCGAGTACCCCAAGGCGCATGGATAAGGTTAAAAACATTAAATAGATAAAACAAAACGAAAAAAGCTCTCCAAAACAACCCCCCCCCAAAAAAAAACAACCCAACATCCCCACCACAAAAAACAAATCACAACAACAACAACAACAATCTTGATAAAATGCTTCCCCGGTTATTTCTTTGTCTGTCATTATCGTAAAGCCGGCACAAAATACACAGCATCGAAATTGATTGCAAACGATTTATTATTGTTCCCATCAGAACTCGAAGAGCAAATGTGAATTTTCAAGAAGTGTGAGGAAAGACCTGTTTAGAAAATAATAGTATGGTTGTAGAGTAATCGTGACATCGGTAACAACAC